TCTGTGATTCTGTGATTCTGTGAAACAAAATTTTCAAAGAAATAATTTTCCTGATAAACATCACTCTGGCTTTGCTGCCATTGAGATTCAATGGAATTTCTCCTCATCAAAACTCTCATTTCCTAAAAGTTGTCTGAAGATTCAGCTTCTGAAACAGTAGGTGAATATATTCATTGAGCAAGGGACGTGTAGCCAAATGTCCCTGTGGACAAGGGAGCTCCTGGAATTAAACCATCTCTCCCGGTCTCACAGATCTGTTGAAAAGCAAGACTACAATATGGATCCATGTGGGATACTCTCTTGGGGGTTTCTGCAGTGAAAGACCCCTAACAGCTATAGTTAATAGTTTCTGGTCCTTTGCTGAATACAAAAAACCAAACATGCTGTGTAAAATGGGAAATGCATGCAGAAGGCCCAACTTATTTCAAAGGTCCAGATAGCTAAATCTGAAAGGCTGTGAAAGGAGTGGAGCTGAAGAACATCCCACATTTGACCAACAGAGACGAAGACAGAATAGCAGTTCAGAAAGCAACCTGGGAGGATTCTTCACTTGGGTTCTCCTACACCCAACAAAGCACAGGATCAGAAGGAAGATGATAGTTAACATTACTTTCAAGTTTTATGTTATCCCTCTCAAACTGTGGTTTCAAGGTGATGCTACCTCAACGACAGAAGTGAGGAGTCATTTTTGCTACTGCTGGGCTTAAACTGTTGACCTTACAGTAGCAACTGCTGATTTTACTCTGGAGGCTTTTGGATCATGTGATCTGACGACACACTACAGTTTTGATGCCCATGGCTCTCCAGCAGGATTTAATTTTTCTCATGGTGTGGCTGAAAGGTATGGGTGCATGTCTGTGTATTCATGCACACACACACGTGCATGTGTGTGCGTGTGTGTGCGTGTGTGAGCATGCGTATGCGTATGTATGCGTGTGTGTTACATCCACTTCATGTTGCAGGTTTCAGTTTACAGGACCGCTGGTGGACGATCAGTCTGTCTGGAAGAAAAGTACGCCCACAAATATCACATGGAACTAGCTGGTTCTGGGCGCTGATCCAGGCAGCCTCGTTTAAAGAATCAAGATCATAGAAACCTTTGGCTGGAAAATTAAAAAAAGAAAGTATCAGTTTTCATTCTGGAGACCCACATTCAACTCTTTATGGAAAATATTTTCAGGAAATACCTGTTGACTGAGCCTTTCAGTTTAACCAAACCATATTGCTTTTGCAAATGAAAAAGAAAGAAAAGAAAGAAGCAAAAGAGTAAAAAATATATAAAAAAGACTCTGCTTTTTGTCCCAGGGGTTGAATTAAATTCACTTGAAACTGAATCATTTTGTATTGAATGAGAGTACAGAGAAAACATCATGCTGTGTGTTATGATATGCATTCTCAGCTAATTATTAACATCTTTGCATACATAGTATTATCAGCAAATTTCACTTTTTGGCTTTACTTCAAGTTCTGTTTAATGAGCATGTGCTATCTGACCATGGCAATGGGTGGGAGCGTATCGTACTTGAGAATATGCTCTTTGTACTGCTTTGGACAAGGGGCCCAATTTTCTTCCTGTTGAAGCCTATGCAAGTTTTGCCAATAAGTGGAGTAAAACTTAGGTAAGACTAAAACTTTACAGACAAAACCTACAGTTCTTTTAAGCCATAACTTCCAGTGAGGTCATTGCACTGATGCATCTGTTGTCATCTAAACACTAATCCAGTTTTACCCACAGTTATTTTCCACTGTGGGAAGAGTGACTGCTCTGAAAGCTCAGGAGCATTCTTCAAACACTCACATCAGATGTATTTTTAAGATTTTATTTGTGTATAAAAAAAAATCCTGTTTACTTTCATCTTGAAATGGACTTTCACATAGTGGTGTTTAAAACTGATTTCCAAAAAGGCCAGGTAGGTTGCTTAATACCTGTATTTAGATCTTAAGAGTTTTCATCTGAAGTGCATGCAGAAAAGAAATCTACATGGTTCGATTTGAAGAATCATTTGTTTTGCCCTTCTCAAAAGGTATGACAACACAGAAAAAGACTAAAAAAACTTTTTTGTCTTTGAACTGTTAGCAACAGACAATTTTTAAAAGAAAAAGATTTGTGCATTTAAAAATATTCCATGGTTTCTGTCATTGGCACATGATAGAGCTCTTCATTAAAGGCCCATACAGTTTTAATATGATTCATATCCAATGGTTCACATAACCACAATAAGCCTTAGATCTCTTTAATATGCCTGTTCCTAATGTTCTTTTTGTTAGAAGAGCAACCAAGTAGTGTTTCTTTTCTTGGCTGAGACAAATATCCCCTTTGCTTGCAGGAAATGAATGTGTATTTTCTGTACTTTGGAAAGTTTATTGAATAAAAAAAAAAAAAAAAAGAGAGAGAGAGAGATGACTTTCTCCTTGCAGGCATGTGTTAGGCATTCCACAAACAAAACACTGTGTAATCAGGGCAGTGGTTGTCTTCCCGTGACACTTGAGTTTTCAGAAAAAGATTTATGTAAGTTATAAAAAGTTTTATGTAAGCAGTTAATATTTCTGAGCTTTTTTTGAACATTGCCTGTTCCATTCAATAACAGGGGTAATCCCTCCTCCCTAAACTGAGAAACTGTGAGGCATGCAGTACGTGTATGTGGTCTCAAGGTCAGTTATAGCATTTACCAGATGATTGAGAGTAAGTCTTACGGAAAAAGAACAACACTGAGATTATTTTCTCGTGGCCAGGAGCATGAGGCAACTGCAGGGGGAACAACAATTTTAGCTCAAGCTACAGAACTGGTCAGACTTGCATCAGCAGACATTTAGGGACAGATGCTGGAAGCAGGTCAGCATCCCCTGGGGAACCGTGGGCACACAACACCTCATAGGAGATGCGCGGCGCCTGATATGACTCATTGCATAAATGAGACAATTTTCTGATTCATATCTGGGAGCCTTCTGCTGGATTGTTCCCTCAAAGTGTGGTTGTCTTTCTGCTTCCACTCCTTCAAAATAAGAATAGTGTATTTCAAAATAACCTGATTTGTCCTTTTGCATCCTCCTCTTTCATATGGAATTCTCATTTTCTCCATCTTTTTTACCACACAACATGTAATAATTAAAAAGGTCTTAACAACAAAAAGAGTAAATACAATGAAAATGTCTTTTGAACCTATCTTTTACCGCAGATTCAACTCTGCTGCTTGGCATATGTTAACCAAATCCTGATTTGATATATGTTGAGCTGTGACTATTGTTATTTTGAACAGCTGGTTAGTGTTCTCAGTGATCCTGTTCTATTCTGTGCATGTCTTCTGGGGACATATATCTTTGTACTGCTGTAAACTGATCTAGTGTATGATTCTTTTGCAGTGAGTTGTAGGAGAATTTGTCTACTTTTCCAGACATTAGGGGAAGCTGTGGGAAATTGTGGGGAATATAAATAAAAAGTGGGTGAATTAACTGCCTGTGAGCAAGTGGTCCAAACTTGGGCCAAAGTAGCTCAGACCAGCTGGCAGGGCCAGGGAAATCATCCAGCTGACAGGATGAAATAACTTCATGCGGGAATGGGGAAGTCCAGGGAGCAGCTTCCAGGCAAAGCACAGATGAGATTTCCTTTTGGCCCTAAAGTGAGCACACACCCCTGGGATACATATAGGAGCCCAGCTCTGTTGGGTGCTGGGGATCATCAGTTTTCATTGATTTTGAGAAGTGGTCCCACTTCTTTTTTAAGAAGTGGTCCCTACTAGGCATCTTAGAAAACAGAAGCCACAGCACAAGCACACATAATTGGCAAAAATAAAATGTTAATTTGATACTACATATATTTTTTTCCTACTGTGTTTATATTATAGTGTCTCACAAAGAAAGTTTCTAAGGCTTGTAAATAAAAAGGGACCAATAACATCCACTGGATGTTCATTGTAGAAGATACTGCATTTCTATCTATAAATATATTTTAATAAAAACCTGAAACAACAATATGTTATAGGTAGGTTTTAAAAATACCTTATTTTCTACCAGTCCTTGTGCATTAGTATTGTATTTCTTATTTTGCCACAGAACTCCTGTTTTTGAGGTCGTTCACTGCTAAGTGCTAGTGTCAAGCTTTTTTTATAACTGACGCTATAGGTGTAAAACCTGGCTGACAGATATGTAAAACATATCTATCCTTATGTTGCCTGAGGGTATTTTATTTTAGTAACTGCATGTGTCAAGTCTGCACATTATTCATGGATGCTTTTGCCCATTTTAAAATATGCCTTTCTACAGTGCTGAAAGTAGTCAAAAGGTACTGATGTAGCTGTGAAGCAGGTTGCTAATTTTTTTGTGTTTTGATTCAGAGCATACTGGCACATAAAGAGGATTGTCCCAGGAGGCATGTCCCACAAAGCAACCACTACTCTTACTTCTTAGGGATGCAGCACAAAAAGAGAACGGGATACTTAACAGAAAGCTTAAAACAAGCCATGATGGCTTCCTTCTCTTTGGAGTAAAAGGGAGAGAGATGTACTTGCAAACTGTTAAGCTATTGCTTAAAATCCTTTTTTATCTTCCTCACATTTTCTTCCTCCCATTTCCCCATTTGGTCTGTAGCTTACCTTGTATAGGACAGACTTCAGGCTTTTTGGGCTCAGGTCTTCTCAAGTGCTTGGGTAGCATGTCATTCTCCTGGTGCCATTTTCTCAGGCATTGTGGCTCATGGATACTAATAGATTTTGTTCCGTACTCACGGCTGCATATGTAACAAATCACTGCTGGTGGCCGTCTTATCACCTGTGCCCGCAAATAACAATTGTGAAGAAGAATAAATATTGTTTTCAACATTAACTTTTAATCAGAACAAGTTTGGATGAAAACTGTGGAATCAGTCTGTGAAATCAGTGTAACTGTTTCTATCATCAGCTTCATTTTGTCTGGGTTCAGTCTTGAAGTCTGTGAGAGATACTGCCTCATTAACTGGCCACCTGGAACAGGTAGGCTCCTTCTGCAGACACCGAGCTGAAAATTCATGTGTGTCACCTAATTAATGCTTATCTATGTAGGTCTTAGTTCTTTTATTTTCACACCATCAGGTTCATGGAAATGCTGAGTCTTCACGTGCAGGAACAACTCCTCTGCTTAATCAGTTTTCTGCAGCACAGTGTCCATCTTAAAGCCCGTTTTTTTATCTACCAAACAGAAGTAACATGGAAAGCAGCAATAAAAGCAGAGGAGGAATGCTGATGTCTAGTGCAGTAGCAGAAAGACCCCATCTCCAGGTAGCACGCAGGTAAAGAACTATGTCCAGCCTTAGCATCTCTCTGGGGTTGGACAGCGAGAGCAGCTGTCTCCGGCTTGTGACTGTGGCCTCTAACCCCACGCTACTTCTGCCACAGATCAGTTAGCTGGTGGAATTCTTGGCCTTGAAGGATTAACACAGATCCAGCATGTTTCAGGATAGGAACTGTTGCTTGTTTATCCTGAAGGCCTCAGTGTGAACCTCGCCTGTGATGGCAGCGAGGGCACAACCGGACTCTAAGCAAGTCATTGCTCCTGCACTGCAGATTTGCTTTTGTTTGCAGAGAAAAACAGCCTAACGGAAGAAAAAAATCCCTCAACCCCAAGCCCCACAAACACATATTCTAAGCTTGAAAAATATATAATTACTGCGGTATTGCAGATTATGGACTCGACTTAGGCACGTCCTGGGCTAGGCATGGTGTCAGTGCCAGTCCTGCTCCAGGAGTGGTGTAGAAACGTACTGCAGAGACAGACTTTGAGGCACACGGGTAGGTCTCACAACCGCCAGCACGTTGCACTCCTGACTGCAGAATACCAGTAAGAGATGAGCTATTCCCTGCCCTCCTAAAGGTAGAGGGACAGCCATGCCAGACCAAACACAGGAAGCCTTTCTCACTCAAACAAGGGAGGTGGGGATTTCGTTTTTTCCTCTGCTGCTGTGTAAGACAAAGTGTAACCTGTTCCCGTATTTATGACTCTCTCTGTCAGCCCATCAGTGTATTCAAGAAACTCTGGGCAGCTCTTCTCGCATTTATGCTACAGTCTGAAAATGTCATTAGTGAACAATCTGCATAAGCTTTCTTTCCTGTATCACACATGTAAACTCAATTACATGAATAAATACTACCCTACAAAGTGTATTTTTTCTGGGAAAAGTTGGACTTCACCTGGAAAGTTCTCACAGTGAATTAAAATATAACTTATCCAAAGACAGTTTTTCCAAGGACTTTTTCATCCTCTTAACTTTCAAATGGAATTTTCTTAGCCATCTTTGATAACAAGGTATTTTATATATATAACCTTCTCTTCCTACTTATGGCTGAATATAGCAACAGCTGTTTTAAGAATGCCCTCTGATTTTCATTATCAGTTTTCACTTACTTCCTTACTTCAGCTCCTGGGCTAAACCTTGTCTGATATGGAGATAAGACTCTGGGTCCAGACACAGAGTCTTCTGAAGGTGGTATATGTTTCTTTGCAGGCTCTGGAGAGCTTTAGATAAGGGTACTACAGCCTAAAATCTTGAGGTCAGGGGACTCATTTCAGTATGCATGCTTGTTACGGGTATGCCTATAGCATTTTAGAAATAGGTTCTGAAAAAATGCTAGGTGTAAAAACACTGGCAACGCATTTTCCTATCTATTTTTCATTATCTAGGTTTCTGCCATTCAGTAAAATAGATTATTTATTGGCTGAAAACTAGGGAAGAGCAATTGGATTTACATTCATATTTGTAGGTTTGTAGAGACTCTTTATATACTACCAGAATGACAAAAAAGAATCCTAGTACAAATGAAAATCATGCTTACTTAGCCTGCACTGTCACAATAATTTCCACCATATGGGGCAGTATAATAAAAACAAATTTATAGCTTCAAGAGGACTTAAAGTCCTGATATGAGACAGGTGACAAATCACTTAAAAAATTAAATGCTCCCTATAAATTTAACAGATGCACAGGTGTATCATTGTTAAAATCAAATAGTTTTTATCTCAGAAATATTTCCCTAGTGAACGGAGACAGCTTTTTATCTCTGACTGCTTCATTCAAATCCATTACACTTGTTCTAAAGTCGTTGTGATGTCCTGCTGTTGAACAGCTGCCAGAGACCTGCAAGACAAAAGTTAGCGATCTCCATCCAGTGCAATCTGGACACATTTCCACAGTTCTGGGATGGTCTTTTTGGTAGTCTCACCTGAAAACTTAAAGACTAGTGAGACCCCACCTGGAATACAGCATCCAGCTCTGGAGCCCTCAGCGTAGGAAAGACATGGACCTGTTGGAGCGGGTCCAGAGGAGGGACACAAAAATGATCTGAGTGATGGAACAGCTCTCCTGTGAGGACAGGCTGAGAGAGTTGGGGTTGTTCAGCCTGGAGAAGAAAAGGCTCTGGGGAGACCTTAGTGTAACCGTCCAGTACTTAAAGGGGGCTTCTAAGAAAGGTGGAGACAGACTTTTTAGCAGGGCCTGTAGCAATAGGACAAGGGGTAATGGTTTTAATTAAAAGAGGGCAGATTTAGACTAGATCTAAGGAAGAAAATTTTGACAATGAGGATGGTGAAGCACTGGCACAGGTTGCCCAGAGAGGCAGTAGATGCCCCATCCCTGGAAACATTCCAAGTCAGGTTGGACTGGGCTCTGAGCAACCTGCTCGAGTTGAAGATGTCCCTGCTCATTGCAGGGACCCCTTAAAAGGTCCCTTCCAACCCAAACTGTGGTTCTATGATTCTATGACTGAATGAGCAATACTGCCATCCCTACAGATCTTGATAGTCTTTATAGGTGGGTTTTGTGTTGCAACTGAGCAAAACCAGGCCTGCAGCTAAATAGCTAAGTTCTGTTCTCCAAAGTTATCAGTTGGGATTGATTCACAACTAAATCCTATTTGGTGAAAAAAATGTTTAAGAAATGTCTTCAAGTAGAAATGTCCCTGTTTTGTAACTTCCACTATTAAAAACTGTACAGCAACAATAGCAGAAACCAGAATTAATTAAATGGAATCAGATCACTCTAAGGATGGAATTATTTTTTCCAGAAATGTAGTGAGTTTGAACCATCACCACACATCGCATTACATACGGAAATCCTTCTCTGCAAATGCATGCATTTAAAAAGCTGAAAAATAAAACCTGAAGGAGAACATCCTTACAACTGGTAGTAACAGTTCTTTTGTTGCTTAACTGTGGAATCTGAGGTATGATAAGCTTTATTTGGAATTGCTACAGCTGATGATATTTCTCTTTCATTTCTTTTTCTCTTCAGAGTGTGCCTATCCCAAATGTCACATCTGGAGGCCTGCAGTTTGAAACTAAACTATTTTTGGAATCACCACAATTTTCCAACCCAAACTACTCACAGGCCAGTGGCTAGGCTGTCTGCTCATTGCTTTGTTTTTCACTTTTAAAAAGGATTGTAGGGAAGGTCTGTTCCTGAGGATATGTGTTATTATAAAAATACCTACAAATACCTAACAGTGCAGTTGGGTTTTCCTCTGGTGCCTCAGTATTTTCTTTTTTCTCCAAGACTGCTAACTATGTCTGCATGACCATGAATGAAGTTATTTAACTCAGAGGGCTACACAACTATGTGTTTTCAATAGACCTGACATTACTTGAGGTTAGCCCCAGGCTGCTGTTATGGTGTTACATGAGGTCAAATCCTCCCATACTGCACAAAGCTTTTAATTTCATCTTAAGTACACCCAATATGACTGACCTCCAAACTCCCCTCCATCAATATTTATCATCTAGGACTGCACACCTCCCCATCTTTCTTATTTGTTTAATTATCCATGTATTTTAATGGGAGGAGAGGAGGCCTCCTGCTGTAGGCCAGAGCTCTTGTCACAGGCTTGAATTGCCCAAGGAACAAAGGTTCAGGAGAAGGTTGGTACAAACACTTAGCAGTAGCATTGTGTTGTATGAAAGCAGCCCCTTCTCACATTCCCCTCTGCAAAGTAAGAGGCATTGTGCATAAGGGAGAGGACAAGCTGTGTTGTGGCTCTCATGACCATCCAAAGGCTCGTTTCACAGCCTTCTGGAGTGCTTTCGATCACTGCCCCGACACAACAGCAAACTAATGTTAGGACTGGTCATACGTCTGTGTATGACATTTCCTTGAAGAGCAAGGTAATTGTGCCAGATGATGCAGGTGACTAAGGTTTACTCCACTGGAAGCCCTAGAATATCCCGTTTTACTCCTGATGTGCTATCTTTTAAAAGAAATACATCAGTATAATGAACATAGCTTGTGTGTAAAAGAAAGAAGGCAGCAAGCTCAATCATTCCCAATGATAGTACTCAGTAAGTTTCATTCAAACCGCCCATTTGCTGTCTGTTCTCACCTAACTTTCTATATTTGCAAATCCGTTTGTCAATATTCTCCTAAGAAGATGTTTAAAACTGCTGCAACTGAGGCAAATGTTTATAATTGACTACCCACCTTCATTAGAATTACACAGCATCAGGAGTTTTCATTTTACTAGTGACTAGATGACTTTAAGCTAAAGCAAGATACAACATCAACATTTTGTTGTTACACAGGTTTTCAAGACTTATGCTGTGTTAAAATGTATTACAATACAGTAAAGGAAGATCACTGAAATCTTATTTTTAGGTAGTTAACTTGATAAGAAGAAAACAGCAGATGGCAGCACCAGATGCTAACGACATGTCTGATAGGATTTTAGGATCAGCTTATCTGCTGTCAAAAAATCTTTAACACATATACCCACAGCAAATCATTAATACTCACTTATATGTAGCAGACATTTTAGTCTATGAAAGAATAAAAACCACACTCCGCTCTAGCGCAAGTCTGACTTTCCTGGAACTGTAGTTCCAGACATCACCTCCATTGTCTGGGGTATCACAGCAGAATCCAAAAGAGAATTTCTGAGCTGATGTGACTCCTGAGACTCTCTTAAGCTTAGGCTGTTGTTTGTTTTACACAGCCAGACATGATTAACTCAGATGTGTGCATCCATTCTGAGAGCAAGGACAGTTAATGGAAGAGGTGGCTTACAGAGGCTGTTGAGTCTCCAGCTCTAAAGACATTTAACATCAAACTGAGTAAGTGTTTGTCAGTAATGGTACTGGTCTAGCTAATCCTGCATGTGCTAAGGGAGAGAGAGCTCCAGGAGAGAGGCATACAGGCAAAAATGTTTGCAGTTGTAAAGTTAAAATTCCGTTCAGATGGTGTACTACCAAATCAGTCAGACCTTTATTTTTAAAATGAGGAAAATCCAGCTTTTTAATCTAGGACATCTTTCATTGCATAAATTGAAAGTAGCATTACAGTTCTTAAACACACTTATATAAAGGTTGGGGTTTTCTTCAGTTATACTTTCCCTCTCCTATTTTGCTGAATCAGAACTTTAAACAGGTACTTAAATAATTCACTGTCACAGTGAGTAGGTCTAAGCGAGACAGGGACTGCCCCAAATGCTTTCCTGCCGGGACCAAAGCAGATTGCCGATTCACTCCACTACTGGTATTTTTTAACATAATTAATAAGCAACTGAGTAGCTGGTAAGGTGAGCGAAATTAAAACCATATGCTGGAAAAAGACGAAGACTGTAGAGGAAACCCAGACCTTGTCCCTGTTCACAGCAAGACTGCAGTCCTTCTGTAAGCTTAGTGCTTTTCAACATCCTTCAATGTGTGGACCTTTCAAAACTTTCGACTGGAGATGGAGACCCTCACAGAGAGGATTTAAACCAATGGAAGAGAGGCTTCCTTTGACCATTTAGAAGCGGCCTGCCAGTCCTGAACAGCCCCTGGGACCACAAAATATGTCTTTCTCTCTTTCCATTCCTATCTCTGCCTTTAAAGCATACCTCCATACAAAAGGACAGCTCTGAAAATAATAAAGGACCTCAGAGAGGTAAAATCCATCATCCTTTCCTGAAAGTCACTGTTAATAATAAAGTCCTTCAGAGTCAATTACAAACTGCAAGCTGTACAGCCTCATTAGTTCTGCTGCAACTGATGAACTGAAACTGCTTGGAAGTAAATGAAGAAATCTGTTGTTCACACAGAAAGAAGAACAGATTCAAATTCATTTCGTTCTGGCTCTGCAGAGCTCACAGAAGTAAAAAGTGGTACTAATGTTGTTGTTCAATAAGTCAGCAGATGTGACTGAATCCACACAGGGAGCAGATATGTTGTCCAAGAGGGCAACATTTTTACAGAGTCACTCTCAATGCCAAACCACATGCTAAATTTGTTTTTTTATGACATTATAACTATGGACATCCCCCTCCTCCCCCCCCTTTTTTTTAAACATACAAGATTATGTGTGATGGACAAAACTCTCACTGTCACACCCGCCTTTTGTTGAACAATCACCTTTAAAGCAATTCCAGTACTTTGGTAAATGGTACGAGGTAGTGTAACACAAGAACATCTCCTTTCCTATAGTTATAGATGCACCTGTGCAGCAGTTTGAACTGTTTGTGCGTTGTTTGAAATTTGCTCATAAAAGACTTAAGGAGTGCACCTAATTTGCTAGTATCTATCAATTAGTGGCCTCAAAGAGCATAATATAAAAATACCTTACATTGCCTTTTTTCTCATGTTTGTTCAGGTAATGCTATTATCTCCATTTTGTCCAGCAGCTGCAAAACTGAAGTACAGCATGCTCTGACTTCTAAAGCTTTTTTAGAAATGCTCTGCATAGCATTGCATTCCTTTGGTGACTGAGCAAGCTAAATCCCATTTTCAAAAGTAATGTAGACAATCAGGAGTCCAACCCCCATTAAAAAAAAAAAAAAAAAAAGACCTTTTATTTTAGACACTGAGCCTAAATTTAGACATCTGTCTTTTTACAAAACTCCTGGCCAAAAGACAGCTTGTGCAGAAACAAATGCAGAAAAAATACGCCATTTTCCAAAACTTTGTGTAGCTTTTGGATAATGTGAATCAGCTTCTTTATTCTTGGATCTTGAATCAAATTCAGTGGAAAGAAATGTGCAGTCGTCTTTATTCTGTTGTTGTTATACTCCCGAGCTGCTGCCTTTGAACATGCAGTCCTCAATAAACTTGTGCTCCACGCCAAGTTTAAGAATAACAGTAAAAAATGAAAATTGCTGGAGTGCTTACAGAATAATGAAACATTGTATTTCATGTTAACTAAATAAAAATACCTAATACTTGCTAAAACGTGCAACGTTCAAGGTTTGCCTAAGCTGCTCAACAGAGTCTCCTAGGGAAATACAGCACACAATGGTCCCTTTTGGGGACATAACTCTCACAGGACCACAGAGTATGAGAACCCAGCTACTCCCTTTCAACAGGAAGATCAGAAGAAATAGTAATAAGCAGTTTCCCTTATGCACACAGTATCCCCCTTTCCTTTACCTACCATTCAGCAGAGAAACATTTGCACAGAGCCAAAAGATCCTTCTGAAGGAAAGTGATTTTTTAAATTTGATGGGAACCCAGTCTCTCCTGGAATGCCCAGCGTCAAAATGCCTCCGCACCCTTTCATACCGCACATGCTTAGCAATTTACCTTGTCTAATACGACTGGTGCAAGCCCGCTCTTTCCTTGACGGGTCTTAGGTAGATCCTCACTTGCTGAGCCAGACCCAGAGCTTGGGCCTTTGCCAGGTTTACGGAGGCTAGAGCCTGACAGCCCCGCACTGCTGCTACCTCCTCTGCAATGCTTTTGGTGCACAATGAGACGGTCAGGAAGGAAGGTTCGGCCACAGCTTCCACAGGGCAGGAGCTGGGCTTGAGCACTACGATAAGCTGCCTCGTTTTCAGCTGTAAGCGTACAGGAACCACCAGTAAGGACCTCAGGTTTCCTGGGCTCCGCTCTTCTGAGATGCCTTGGTAGCTGATTGTTTTCAACATGCCACTTCTCTAGGCATTGGGGTTCATGTATAGAAATAGACTGTGACCCAAATTCTCTGCCACAGATATAGCATACCCTGAAGCAAGGTCTTCTTGGTGGGATGACAGGCCGATTCAGTGGTGTCCGAGGCATGCTTGAAGAATCTGACTGTTTTGATATTATTGCAGTGCCTGGTTGCCTTTTCTGGGGTCCAGCTTCTAGACCTACTACTTCATGCAAAATTCTGGGAAGATTTGACACAGTAGATGGTGAAACCTGCTCTGAAGGCAAGATGCTAGAGACACTAGCAGGGGCCTCTCCAGCACTTGGCAGAGCGTTACGGGTTTTGTTCACATTCTTTTTCTTTACATTTGTTTCCATGAAGGGTACAAGATTTCAAGAAACTTCTCTCTATCCTACACATAAAGGGCTTGGAAAAGTCTGTTATTCAGCATGATGCTCCGTCTTAATTCAGTTTCATGGGCTGGAGTACACCAGGGACTTCAAAACTGGAAAACTGCACCTAAGAGCAATTTCATTTCCATTCATCCAATGGAAAGAGGGTTTCTGTATGTTTTTGTTTTGCCTTTTGGTTTCACATGATCCTGAAACAAATTAAATCCGTACATATTAATAAACACCATCTCTCTTGTTAAGGTTACTAACAAGTGGTTTATCACCAGGATCAGTTTACCTTACTAATCTATTATATTTTTAAGTAGCAGACAAATAACATCAAACATAGCCTACCTTTAATGATCAGGTGAACAATGTAAATCTGAAATTCTAGTCTCAGAGGGTGCAAAAAGACAGATTTGCACAAACTGACGTTGCTGAAAAACAGTGGTTTTCAGTATAATCAATATGTTTTATTTTCAGTTATTGACAGAACTGGTATTTCTGACAGTCTTTAATTTCTAAGCCATTTACATTGATAGGTAAACAAAATTTCCCTGTCTCAAGAGAAATGAAAATAAGTCCCTTAGTAGAGGGATGTTAATGTCCAATCTCTAAAGGGAGAGAGAGCAAGGAAAATGTTCCCAGTCTGTAGGCTGAAGGAAATGATTAGGCCCCTTTACCCAGCACTTGTGAGGTGGTATCTCAAATTCTCTGACCAGTCTTGATTTTCCCAGTACAGGAGGGAGATTAATAAAATGGAGCAAGTTTATCAGTAAAGGATGATGAGATGCTTTGGGGGCTGAAGTGCATGCCATATGAGGAGAAGCTAAGGGCGCTGTGTTTGTTTAGTCTCAAGAAGACAGTGCTAAGCATGCTTCAGTTTTTCAATTTGCAGTCTATCCCTGTATACAGACAACTTTGTGTTATATCACTTAAACGTTCATTTCTCACAGAGACAATTTTTTGTGCTGGTCCTCCAAGGACCAGAAAATAAAATTCAGGCTATAAACATGTTACGGTAGAGGCTTTATTATTGCAAGAATACAAAATAACTAGCAGGATAGCATTAGTCATAAGCAAGCAAGAGGTTGCATAGACAGATGTCCACCAAGGACAGCAAGATCACCACTGTCTACTTTATAATAGAAGAAAGAGGTGATTATTGCTTACTTTGCCACTGAGGATGGGGTCAAGGCATAAAGGCCACTGCTCTGGGGTTGGCAGCTCTTCCTCTGACTTGAGGCACCTTGCTCTTACCAAATATTCAAAGTTTTTAGGGGGTTCCTAACTCCCAAACTTATCTAGTCAGAGATCCCATTGACCCATCTTGGCTCACTTTCTCTGCTGCCACCAGCCAGCCTGGATCTGCTCTGAACTGCTTTTTCATCATGTCGCTGTGGGAGACTTTGCTCCCACTCAGCAGCCTTTCCACCCTTATCACTCCCACCTCTGAACCCAGGGGATTATTTTTACTACACCCAAGGGTAAGGACAGAGTTTTGTGTGAAGATGACGAACTTTAACTTTGCCTGTGCCACTGAGAAGCACTGAGCTGAATCTAGGCTCTCCTAAATATTCGAGATGATACCTTAAAGACATGGGCAACCATGAAAAAACAAATTGTCACCAGGTTCATACGATTCATCATCCTCTTGCCAGGCACACAAAGATGTTTAGATTGCTGTCTTCACAGTGCTTACTTAAATATTCACAAAGTTGCATATTCCAGGGCCACTTGTGACAATTTCGCATTTTATAAAATCTCCTGTGTTCAAATTTCTTTGTACACAAATTGGAGGATGTGAAGACCATAGTGCCAATCTGTGATTTATACTGGAACAAATCTCTGTGAACAAGTATGTTGCAGTTAACTGTTAAAAATAAAATTCTTGAGGGACATTATATATAGCACTCAAACTTAACACCTCTAAAACTCTATTAGGTAACTACAGTCTGTGGAAAATATATTAAAGTACAAGGCTATAGCATCTTCTCATGTCTGAAGCTATCAGATAAGCATATAATGTATGTTAAAGGATACACAAAACTGCAGCACTGGAATTTTTGTTTCAGTTATAAAAAAAACCTTTTTTTTGTCTGACTCCTATACAATGTATAATTGTGAAAAATCCAGTGGAAAAGAGTACTACAAACTAACAAAGAAACAAAGGTTACCAGCAGTTTGGACAGTAAAAATTAATAATACTTGGGCAGCTGGCTGACTTCAAACTAGTGCTATCCCATTTTAAAGAAATAATTTTTGCCCTCACCAGCGATGTTCTGTTAATGCAAAAAGCTTTGCTGTGTAGAAAGTATTACAAAAGCTATTTGCATGACAAATCCCAAAGCCTTTCCCTTGTTTTCCTTTTAGAAGGCCTAAACGTTCTGACCTTAACTTTATAGAAGGCTGATCGCTTTGTACCACAACTTGCCACTGCAGGAGTTTGCGAGTTTTGTCCAGGTTATGCATGTGATTTAGTTAGATGAATGGTTCAACAGTACGTGAAATTTAAATTTGCAAACTAGCATTGAGGCTACTCTACCTCAAGGCTCTTTCAAAGACTGGGAGAGTTTCCAAGGAGGGTGGTCTGTTGGATGAATCCAAGTTGGGAAGTAGCCAAGCTCTTTAGGAGGATGAAGGGAATGGAGAGCCAGGGAAACATTAAAGGGTCATGAAGGCAGGGGAGATAAGGGTTATTGGAGGGTTACAGGAAGGGAGCATCAGAAAGTTCGACTACATCTCAGGGAAATTCTGAACTTTGCAATGTCCTATTTTTGTCCTATTTATTGGTTTATGTCAGAACGATACTTTCCACTACCTGAGAGGATTCTTAAAGCAACACTGGACATCAGAGACTGCCTGCCACATGAAGAATGTTAGGTGACTAAATCTGTTACCATTAAGAATGAATCAGTCAATAAAAGATGCTATAAACAACCTATTAACAATATAACCTATTGTTGGATTTCCAAGGTTGCTATTGTAAATACTTCATAAGAGAATTATGCTTCCTTGTGGGGATTACACCATTTGGTCTACATTTATTCCTGCCAAGTTGACTGTTATTATTTGGAAACTTCCTATAAATTCAGTATGAAATGAAAAGCCATATGAGCAGTTTAAATCATTTTTCTCAAGCTCAGTAGTAAAGATGTGGAAGTAAATAAGGATTGGGTTTTAACAGTTCTTTTCAAAACACAAACCTTCATTTTTTCTTTTAAAAATGTTGCAACATGTTTATTAAATAAAGTGGGAAGGTATGGTTGATCATTACATATAGCTGTGGGAAAACATTCCTCTCCTCTGCAGTTCCACTGAGTGCAGTACTTAAAAAACAATCATCTCATGAACTGCAGTGACAGGATAGTTGCAACTAATGGATGAGTTCAATTTAATTAAAAGCAAGTGAAATACTGCGGCTAGTTCAGCATCAGGCTGAGAGCTTCACTTTACCCAAAACAGAACAGAATGACAAGAGTGCAAATAGTTCAGTACATCTCTTATCTTCTTGTCCTGAAGAGGGAACTGGAACCCTTGCACTCTGTTTTTAAGCTTATCCTAACTAGAAATTGCAACAAAAACATTGTTATCCATGCTTCAGTAATGCTGCCTTCCCTTAGCTGTTATGTGTGATTCAACCTATACAGGCAAGTGGAAACTTATTCCCTGAAATGGCCTTCTTTATGTCTTCTTTCATGTCAGTGTTGGAACTTGGAAGCAAAGTTGACACATACGTTTCCTATTTCCTGTATGCAGCCTGTTTCTGAAGAATGACCCTCTCTGTTTTTCATCTCTCTTGATTCTCCCATGTAAACAATACCTCAAAACCCATTATAAGGTCATTTTATAAGCCTGGATTCCCTGACCGAATTGAACAAAACATACTTGCACTAACCGGGGGATTAAATTGGCTGTTTCCAATGAATCCTCAACACTACTGCTTTTGACTTAGCTAGAATTCCACATGGAGACCTCCCAGCTGAAAAAGACAGAGTTTACCTTGTGGAAGAACACATTGCATGAAGCCTCCTGCTGCCAGGACACAACCGTGCTTATCCAGTGGACAAAACACAGGAACAGTTGTGACAGTTTGGAGAATCTGTTTATGCACAGTTTATGAATGCTGACTGATATCACAGCCTCTCCATGTGCAGCTGCACCAGACTGCTAACTCCATTTAAACTATATGGCTGGTTTATTGTCACTGTTCCCATCTGCCAGCACAGAAAGGGATAAGATAAATCCTTGCACCAGATAAACACAGAGCTAAAACAAGGGACACGGAGATTTCAAGCTTACGCATCTCAAGAAAATGCCCCTTAGGCATGCTTGACTCCCTCTAAAGGCAGAGACAATGTTCACATCTGGATTTAGGAGGGAGGACCATAAACAAGCAAAACAAATAGTGGCAACAGCTGATTCCTTTACTATTTTTAAAATAGTGCTTGATAAAGTTATGAAAAGGATTTATGTGAAGTAGTTGCTTGAGGTGGCAGTGGCTTACATACAGGAGGCTCTTTGGAGAGGTCATCTGTAATTGGAGAGTGCTTACAAAATCAGGACTTGCATAACAGAGTTATGAGAATGCCAGCATGGGTTGCTCTGCCTGAGGAAGCGTATGACAGGCCACAGAGATACATTAAATGAAGGAGGAAACATATGGTTCCAAAATGTTGGAACATCATCACCCAAATACAACAGCCTGGGTGAAGCCCAGCTACAGATTAGGCTGTCAGTGACAGAAAATAATAAACTAAGTTTATCTTGCAAAAAGATACTGGTTAATCCAGTATCTCAGATACAAGAGTTCCTGGTTGTGTAAGCCCTTATTTATGCAAACCCCCACTTTACTCTGAGAAGTTTTCCCTTTGTTTGTCTTCAGTAGTACACTCAACGTTGCATACTTATCCTGCCTGTCCATTACTCAGTGCTTGAAATCGTAAGCTTTCTGTTTGTGATATCACAGGTGTTGTTATTGTGGG